ACGTGAGTCATGTATTTTTAAAGTGATACTTTAGAATTAATGTAAAATACATGAATGTCACTGTGAAGTCCATAAACTGCAAAAAAAAGAAGAAATTTAAACAAAAATGCTCCAAATTTGCAGATGTTGTTTGTTGCAGATATAAACATATAATAAAAATAAAAAAAACCACTGAAATCATTTTTATATAATTTGATACCTTTTGATAGTAATTTTCCAATTTCCAGATACTGAAGATGCAAAGAATCACCATTACTTCCCTGTACACGTATATCCTATAGGCATTTAACTGTACACAATATCACACCATGAAGTAGCAGTAAAGTCTCACATTATGCTCCACAAACAATCCAACTGGTAACATTTAGAAATACCCAGGATGCCTCTGTTTTAGTGGTGAGGTTAATACGAACATTCAAAAAACTGCGGAATGTGACTGTGTTACCAAAGAAGTGAAAATAAATCATTTTCATCTGCAGAAACCGCACTTGTGTTTTCGTTACCTTGGAATGAGCCGTAAATATCTACACCGCAGGTTGTCTTCCATGGAGTCCACCATGTTCAACCGCCATGTTTCTACAGTAGTCCAAAACAGACAAACCAAACACTGACTGTTCATAGGGCCTTTTTGGAAAAGGGAGAGTGAAGCGTGGGAATTGCAATCTACAACTACACCACTAGATGCCACTAAATCGTACACGTTTGTCCTTTAAGTTTTCCCATTTAAATACAATGACATTCAAGGTTGAAACGTCCCAAATCCAACAATATAAGATGGGTCATTAAGATAATAAAATATATCAATAAAAGCAACAAACAATAAAAATACAATTATAAAATCTACCAGAAAATAAATAAATTATAGTAAAACTTAGTTAATTAAATACAATAGAATAAAGTAAATAATGGTAAACAGTAAAATCTTACTATAATAATATTCTGTGGCATCATTCAAATTGGGTTTGGCAAGAGTCTGGCAACCATACTTGTTATTGTGTTGGTGTTGCTTTGGTCTAGATTGTGATACTTTACTGCCATCTTTTGGCCCTTTCTGTGAATACAAAATATAACAGAGTAGCCAGTAAAACCTGTGTGTGCAGCTTTAATAGCTCAATCCGTCTGTTATTTTTGTGTAGAGAGGGAGACAACAGGCTACATAATTAAAGCCAATGTCAGCAATTATAGCTGCATAAACACAAATAATACTGAGATTAAATAACCATAAGTAGTCTTGGCTGAAGTTCACAGGAAAGTGGAGTTAGACAGAGTTTGAAGATTTTGTCTTAGCGTGTATTTTTTAGGGTTTTGACAGTTTTGAAATCTACAGAAGTCTTGCCACTATTGTGAAAATCAATTTATCATTAAGGTCAGTTTTAAGGTAATTTGTTCCTGCATCTAAATTGTTGTCTTATGTGATAATAAACTCAATATCTTTAGGTTTTTAAGTCTTGGTTGAACAAAACAAGCATCTCATTTTACAACTTTCTGATAATTTAATGACCAGACAATTAATGAAGACTATCATTACTTGCAGCCCTTAACAATTGTGTTGCTTGAATGTCCATATTTATCAAATACATATCAGTGTGATATTGCACCCATATTCCAATGCTCTCTGCAACTAACAATTCTTTTCTTGATGGACTGATTATTCGTCTGGTCTACAAAACACTCTTCATGTAGAACTGAGCTTGTATTTATTTTTATATGAAACTGGATGCAAGAGTGAGACACATGGCAGGAAAGTTTTTATTCAAGTTTAAAACAATGTAATACTGGTTAGAAACTCTTTCTTTATTAAAATATGTGATGCTCTCTTGAACTGTTTCAGCTGTGAACTGTTTAAACTACTAAGTAATACAACAAAGTAATGTGAAGCATTTGTAATCCAGTTTTGTTTTACATTAATTTATTTGTGATTTCATCTTCATCAACACACAGCCAGTAATGTTTATGTGATTATTACTTAAAATAAAAATGTACTTCAAATACTTCACTTGCATGTGAACCTAAAACAGTAACAGAGAAAGACAGGGAAGTCTTTTGATAAGACCTCTACTCTCTCTCACATTCAGAGGCACATTTGTGAATTTCCTTCTGATCCATCATCCTGAGACCTGATAATTGAGCTAAATCAAATTTCTTTCACAAGACACAGCAGAACAATAAGAAGCCACAAAGCTCAATACTGGCCCACAAAATCATCAGGAGGTGGGGTGCCCGGAGCAGGCTGCATGTCAACAGTGACAGTGGAGGTTTTCGTGCGATACTTTAACTCCCGATGCATCTGACACCAGGAGCACCACCCACAGAAACAGGAAGTTGCAATGTCCCTGCAGAGAGAACCCTGTGGAGAACAAAAGTATTAATTGTGCTTTTTTTTACCGTGTTCTTCAGGTATTATTTAATGTAGATGTACATGAGGCTTTCATTCAAACAAAAAAATCTGAATGCATCACCTCGAGACCATATCTGTGTCGAAGGGCAACCCTCATAGACAGGCCTGCAGGTGGCGCACAAAGAGGCAGTCCACAGGCTGCTGTTATGGCAGGGCTGAATATGTCACATAAAGGGAGACAAGTGTTCTCTCCAAATGTTCCTGAAACTGTGCAGGCGAGGCAAGGGCAGCACCAGAAACCATAGCAGCCTGAAAAGCAAGCAGTTTTAAGTTGTAATAGAGTTGTAATATAAAGTCTAAGTGGCTTTATATGACTGAAGGACACACAACAGAAAAAATAAGACAAATATAATAAAACAAACAAATATGACATTATTATGTTTGAAGTTGTGATCTTGATTCTTACAAGAACTTGTGTCCTCACAACATTCAAGGAGGCCGGTGTTCCACTCGGTCGAGGGATGTGCTGCCATTGGCTCTTGAACACAGAACAATTAACATAACTAAAAGAAGAATATATGGGTGAACTTATTCTGTGTTGCACAACGGAAATATAACTTTTACATGCATATATATAATATTAATATTCAACTATTAATATTATCAAGAATGTTTTGAATGAACATTACAACTATCTTCTGTGTAAAGACAATTCATTTAAAATACAAATATGTTTTAATCGATTGCTACATTTTTGTTTTATGTATAAAATATATGGACTAAGTTAGATTTATCTATTGGCCCTTTAGTTTGACTGTAGCAAACCAGCATGTGCAGGTTATTCTCGCTGAATGAGGTGTTAGGCTATATGGCCTGCAGAAAGAATGACAAGAACAGCAACACTACTGGCCTACAAGACTTTTTGTGCCTTCGGTTTTGAAAACATTTTGGTGGGCAAACTTTTATTCATCTGCAAGAAATCTGCATAAATATTCTAATCACAGCAACACAAAAATAATCTTTGAATCAGCAACAAATGATTACAATATGATAAGATAATAAGTAAGATAAGATAGGATAAATTATCTTTTATATTAAATAATTGTTGTCCATCAATTGTAAATCAAAATATCTGTAGAAATATTACAGACGTTGGCAACAGAGGAAGAAACTGCAGTGACATAGAAAACTCTTGCTCAGCTTTGTACACAGCACCCTACTTGGTGTATGAGACAAACATTCAAGCAGTATGATACAAGTACATTTTATTGTGGTTTTACATTTCAATATTGATAAATATCTTCATTACTAGCAAGGGTTGTGAAGTTGCACAGTATAACTACCAAACAGTAACTGGTAGTCTTCAGAAATAACCAAGAAGCTATGTTAAAAAAAGAAAAAAATATGCTCTTTATAAACCACGTTTTTGCTGGCTCTTAGGGTTACCTAACCCCTAACCCCTAACCCTAGCTTTCAACACTTCAGATTAACATATACAATTTCTTATTAGCAAACCCAAAAACCTTACCTGATTAAGTTTAAAGTCTCGTTGTCGCCTTGTAAAGCTGTGAAAGAATATGCCTTGAATGAGGAGTGGCGCCTTGTGCAAACTGAATAAATAAGCACAAGCAATCCTGTGGAACCTGAATTTAGGCTCCAAGGCATATTTGCACTAAGACCCTAGTTCCAAAAGTGTTGTTACACTTTCAAGAGTCAAACCCACACACGCACAAGCACCAAATTCCCTTAAAATGCAATGACAGTACATTGGTAAAAGTACTAATATCGCACTGTAAAAATACTCCACTACAAGTAAAAGTCCTACATCATTAGCTAAATTTACTTAAAATATAAAAAATGAAAGTACTCATGCAGATCTATCTATCTAGTACTTGAGTAAATGTACTTAGTTACATTCCACCACTGTGTTTGACTCACTGTCTGGACTTCTGCCATTCCTTGTTTCTGACAATCTGATTGACACCTGGCTTGGACAGATCAATGCTTAAGCTTTGATGTCATGTGTTTCATGAGTTGATCCACACATTCTCAATACAGCCTGTTTGACATTAAGATATTGCTTAAGAAGAGAAATGAGGTACAAATCAACACACCAACCTGTACACCTACATTCTTGTGAAGCTAGATGCCTGCTGGTGGTGCATGTGATGTCCCACCTCCATATAAATGTAAATTCTCCTGCCAGCAGGGTCATTCCTCAGTTTAATAGCTGCTTCATAGCAGCTGCATACAGCAAAATGAGTCAAAACATTTAATTTCCTTCAGTTGGTTTCTTCAGAAACAACAAATGTTGTGAATTGTCATTTCATTGTTTGATTATCTTGATCTTTTGCTGTTATTATATTACCTTGAGTTTACCTGTAACATACATACATGTTACCATATGTCTATCATCCTCAACCCCATACTTTGTTGTGTTTTAAATAGTTTTATGTAATAGCAAATTAGAAGCTTCTGTGAGCTAATTTTCTGTAAAATATGACAATATTGATGTTTTATGACATCATTAGCAATTACAAAAGGATTCCTTACGCTGGGTCCAAATCAGAATAGCTAATAGGTAACAATGTAAGCAACTTTATTTGTTCCAATTGAGGTGGAGCACCAAAACATAGAAATGAGGGAGGGACACACCACAATATCATGCATGCCGTACTCTTGGCAACTTTAATTATGTCTTAAGATACCACATGGGAATCCAACATTTTGTTACACCAGCACACAGTTGTAGACGTTTTAATGTTTCATCCAGCAGAGTTGGAGGGTCTGTGTAGTGGTAGCAGTGGCACCAAACCTAGAAGTCCTGCAGAAAACCAGAGAGGACAAACATTCCCTGTGTGTTTTTTATATATGTGAGCCCTACACTTCAGCAATTTTTTTCAGAAAGTTTTTGTAGGAATCTTTTTATTGACACCAAGACTGAGTGCTCTCTCTCTTCCAAAATGACAACGACAATGAGCAGCACTAGTTTATGAATCAAACTGGCATCCAGTGTCACACTGATACCATCACAGGGGCAAGACAAAATCCAAATTGTGCTGATTGTACTGGCTTTAAGAGGGATTAAATACACATTTTACAACACAAAACATTGAGGATATTTCACATAATGACCCTTATCTTTTTTAGTTTTCCTTTTTTTTTTTTTTTTTTATTTAACCAGGGAATTTGTGAACAAGAAATACAATAAGTCCGTCATTCCTCTTCTCTGCTGTCCAAAACAAAGACATATTCTGCAAGTCTCTGGAACTCAGCTGAAAGGATTTTACAGTTTAACACACAAAAATTAATTTTTGCTCAGTCTAACACACTCCAAAGTCTCCCAGAGGTGTTGTGTTGGGGATCTGGTGACTGTAAAAGCCAAAGCATGTTCAGACTCAAACCATTCAGTCAACCCTGGTGCTCTGTTATTCCAGTTTTATAGATCAAGACAATAGATTGCATAGTGAGTGATTCAAAAACCTTTATTCATAGCCATTTTAAAGTTATTAAATGCTTGTGATTGAATCCTTTTGCACCAAAACAGAAACTTTCATCCTGCTGGGATGAGGAGAGGTAGTCTTGCATCATTTAAATATTACTAAGCAGATATAAGAATACGTTTGTTGGGCTGTGAGACTGACTCTGAGTCGCAGTCATTTATATGGCCACTGTCGAAGGGCCAGTGGAGCCTCGTGACCATAGCTATATCATTATCAATACACTCAACCATTGACTCTTCCACTTAAACACTCCAAAAAGTTGTGACCATCTTATTTGGCATGAAAACTTATATACTTATCATATATTCCATCATAAAGCAAGCTTAAAAGAAATATCCATCTGTGCTAACACTGTAACTGTAGGCTGCTCTGTAGATCCAACCTTTAAGTTGTTCTTCCAATTAAAGTATTAAACACGTTAATAATAGAAGAATTGTGGCTTAAAACATACACAGTTAGAGTAAAGGCAGCTTAATCACATTGCACTGCACCACCGCTGTTCATTTTTATCTGTGAAATGGTGTCAAGAATTTCATTAATTACTGCATGTCACATGCCTGTATATCATTTAAAGTCCCATATTTGCATCATGTAAAGGAGAAAGACTTTCCCAGTGGTCTCTTCTTAACCAGCTGTTTAGGCACCACTGTTTCCAGTAGCCTTCTCACTAGGTCCAGTCTACCTGTCCTGATCAGAGCCCTGGATAACTCTGTGACCTCTGCTGTGTGATTCCTGTAAAGGCACCTCAGCTCGGCCTTCACGATGTCCCCAGGGTACTTCTCCTCAGCCTTTTGCACCCACAGCTCCAGCTGGGTGATGGCGAGGCTTGGGTCAGGGCCACCCTGCATGAACAGAGCCAGTAGGACGTGTAGGAGGCAGCGCAGGGCTGTGGTGTCCGTGCCCCCTGGTCTCTCTAACTCCAAAGCCTGTTTGAAGCAGTCTGCAGCATTCTGCTCCTCGCCCTTCAGCAGGAGGCAGCGTCCTCTGAGTATGTGGAGGTCCGGCAAGGTGTCACCCAGCTCATACTGAAGGGCATGGGACAGGCTCACCAATGCACTGTTCACTGCCCCCTCATCCACTAAAAGACTCTCCTGGAGTGCATCTACACCCATGTAGTAGAAAACCTAGAGGGAACAACATGAATCTGATAAGCCTGTTGCAGTAGAAAACCCATCTTTATTGCTCATTAGTTGTTTGTGTCTTTACCTGTGCCATCTCTAGATGAATCCGCAGACATGGATGTACAGTCAGGACCTTGTCCAAGTCTTTTCTGGCCTCAGTTAGATTCTGTCGGTCTGGGATCCCTCCAAGACCATGTTTTGCCTTTTCCAGGTCCCTGACATAGAGCATCATATTGATCTAAAAGGAGAACCTTTATAAATACTTGTACAAAACACCTTTTATTGATATCTTCTTTGTAAATGGAAATCATCATCCATTTATGCAAGCTTTTGGAATATAATATTTAACTTTCACCATGCAGTGCACAAATATAACCATTAATAGTTCACACCAGCTCAAACATTAGATCTGATTGCGCAAATATGTGAATTCTGTGCATCTTTAATGTAAATTCTCAAGCATTAACAATTGACTGAGTTTTTTTTACTTTAACTTCATGTACTTTGGTTGCAGTACCTTGGCACGGGTGCAGTAGGCCTCCCAGTTGAGCTCTGGGTCTGGGAGCACGTTTAAGGCCATGTTGCAGATCCCTGTGGCCATCTCATGTTTGCCCAACAGAAAGAAAACCTTTGCCAGAAGGTTCAGGGTGAATGCATCATCGCTGGCCAAGTTTATAGCCTGAGGACACAGACAGTTATACTGTATGTTACTGGGAAAATATATAAAGAGGTAGCACAAATTCTTCTGTAAAGTACGACTAAGCTTGCAGTGACACATCTTAGACATAAATATTTATTGAAATGACTTAGATTACATTATTACAACATTATTAGAGCAGATCTTACTTCTGTAATTTCCAATGTATTTTTGTACAAAGTATATAAAGAAAAGGGGAAATTATATTATTGGCAGAAACTGTATGATGTGGGCTGATAAAGCTAAATTAATTTTAGGTAAAGTTTTATATTCATATGGACTGAGACATTTCTACAAGACTACACAGCTATACAGTGAGTTAAACACACTTTCAATAAAGGTTGAAGACAGGAGTTGGCCTTTGAAGTATGAAACTGTAAAAACCGCACTGAATAAAACACAAATAAATTAAATGATAGTGACTACAAATTAGTACAGTCACATGCAAAACTGAATTCACAAAACTATAGGTTAATTATCAAACTAAGATAGTTGCACCTCAAGCCAGGAAGAAGTGCAGAAAAGATCAATTCCCCATCGCAACACATTAATTTATCTAGAAAACATATAAACAAAGAGTCCACAAGCCCAACAAGCTAAATTAATTTTAGGTAAAGTTTTATATTCATATGGACTGAGACATTTCTACAAGACTACACAGCTATACAGTGAGTTAAACACACTTTCAATAAAGGTTGAAGACAGGAGTTGGCCTTTGAAGTATGAAACTGTAAAAACCGCACTGAATAAAACACAAATAAATTAAATGATAGTGACTACAAATTAGTACAGTCACATGCAAAACTGAATTCACAAAACTATAGGTTAATTATCAAACTAAGATAGTTGCACCTCAAGCCAGGAAGAAGTGCAGAAAAGATCAATTCCCCATCGCAACACATTAATTTATCTAGAAAACATATAAACAAAGAGTCCACAAGCCCAACCGTAATTAAACAGTTACCTAGAAGGTTGTATGTAGCAGAGTCACAAAATATCTACTGATGAAGTACTTAAATATTTGGAGAGTAGATTAAAGGTGCCTGTCAATATTTGTTTGCCCATAAAACTGACGAACAGGTGAACGTGCTAATGTCAGTTAAACTGCTGTCGAACTGTGCCGGTAGTTGTTGCTAATAGCAACAGGATGTTCAACTGAAATTTTTTTTTCGATAAGCAACAGGTCTTCAGAAGAGAGAAATGTTTATCAGATTGAACAAGAACAGGTCTCGGTAAAATAGTCCTCGCTTGTTTTTTTTCCTTCTAGTTTGGGTTAACTTACAGTTCCATAGCAGGACAGAGGTTCAGAGGCTGAGTAGCCACAGTCGTGTATAGACATGGGCACAGTGGTGAATTCTTCCTTCCTCTCCAACATGATGCCAACGTAACACCAGGCAAGAGCTGAGGGGAGAGACCAGAATCAGAAATGTTACCAGGTTCTCCTTAAAGCTTGTTGTTTGTCTCCCTCCAATAGTCAATAGTCAATGTACAGTGTGAGCTAATTAAACCAAATATCACCACTGCACTATGCATATAACACAATGCCTCCAAATGTACAACAGAGCATATAGTATGTAAACAAACCTACTGTGTTTACCTTTGTTTCGTGTTTTTTCAGATGCAAGGGTTTCTTTGAGAAGCTTCAGTCCCTTATTGTAGTGAGAGAGTCTGGAGTATTCAGAGTCGTCTTTGGTCTTTACTATGTCGTCCAGTCTGCGGGGAGAATATGACTTTCATATCTACAAATTCATATCTACACATCAAATATTTTTTTTTTTTTTTTTAAGTTTTTGTACCTTATATAGATGGTTGCCATTTTAAAATACCAGCTTCGTTTTTCCTCAAGTGGTATCTGAAAAACAACAATATTCGCTATCAATAAAATTACATTTATCGTGCAAGAATATTCAGGTACATGCCCAATAACATTGTTATTCCACCAAATGAACAGTTTCGTCTCTGATAAAAAAAAAATAATATAAAATATTTGTTTTGTTTTTTATCCATGTGAGCTTAGTAAATTCAAAAGTCTTGTGCATAGCCACATCATCCAACTTCAGTTAAGGTTTGGGGGTGAAATGAGTCATAGAAGACCAACAGATTAAAATACATCTAATTATTACTAACTGCATGGTTGGAGTGCCACCTAACTAAATGCTGGGAGGTTATGAGTCACAGAATGATGCATGTAGTCTCACCCATTAACCAGTCATTGTTTCAGTGTTCCTCCCTACATTTACACTCTACATGTTATTCCTACTGTTAAACAGACATTTACAGCTTTATTCAGAGCATCACTGTATATGTGTGTTTCCACCTCACCAGCTGATCCCCATAGTCCAGGGCTCTGTTGTAAAGTCTCAAAGCTGCTGTCAGCCTCTCTCTCAGGTCCTCCTCGTTGTCCAGCTCCACATCATGGGGATGCACATAGGCCTGCTCCGCCAGGCAACGGGACGCCAGGAGCCTGATCTCTTCCTGAGAGGCCTCTCCAGCATCTAAGCCCATAAATTGGGACACTTTCTCCACACACTCCCCCGCATCCAGCTCTCTCCCCAGCTTGTCGTACACATAGCCCAGGTTGGCCCAGGCATTGAGGTTACCAGGATCTTCTTTACAAATGCTCCTGAAAGGCCAAGATAAACAGAGAGGTGAAGTTAGAAAAAGAGCTCCCTCAAAGAAGATGAACCTTGGTAAACGTGATAACATAACACCTGCAAAAATATTAGCATGTTAGCATTGTTTGAGAGCATGTTAACATGCTGACGTTATGCTGCAGACATTAGCATTAAACACCAAAAGAAAAAAAGCACTGAGAGCCGCTAGCATGGCCGCAAATTCTTTTAACTGGTGTCTAAGTGTAGTATTTCCAGTAACCTTAGCAATCAGAAAATTGGTGTTACTTGATATTTGTGTGTAATACAACAAAATACAACTAAAGTGTCACATAGGCAAAGAGGAAGTACATAAGGAGATGCATAGTTTAGATAAAAGAAGACATCACTAAGATAACTAAGAATTTTAGACAGAACTAAAATGGTATCATACTTTATGAGTACCCATACAACATGAAGTAGAATAGAAAAATATAACATCATCTGCAAAAACTAATTATAAAGTGTATTGGTTTATTGGAATATAATTATATAACATAATTATTTACATAATTACATAATTGCTACAAAATTGTACTTTATTAGGCTATGAGTGTAATTGGATGTTAGGTTAAGTCCTATATCTGCAGAGATCAGAGTTAGCAACATGAAATAGATATTAATTTGTTAATCTTACAAAGGCAATTCATACTTTTGTTGATCATGCTGGTTGATTTTGTAGCCAAACAAGCCATCTGTGCATAGTTGTATTGGTTGTACTTTTGTCCTGCCATTTCTGCTGCTGTGTAGGCATTCAGTGTGGTGGTTCTTGGTTAGCTCACAGAGATTAAGTATGTAGTAAGACACATTTCAACTTGTGTGGTGTTTCTATAGCTACAGAAGCTTAAAAACAGTTTATAAATCAAAATCTATTGTGAAATCATCCATCGCCAGTGTCTCAAAACCTCTGGCTTAGTGAATATTTGAAATATTCTGCCTTATTCTGTGAATCATCACCTGAATATTTCCTCGGCTGTGTCCAGCTGTTCGAGGTGAAAAGCCAGCAGACCCAGCAGATTTCGGACGGCGTACTGTAGATATCCAGCTTCAGCCTCGAGCTCGCCTCGCAGGCTCTCCTGTTTTAGATAAGTGTCCCTGAGTCTCAGCTTCACAGGCCCGACTGGGTCACAGTTGAGGTTGAGGTCTAGGTGGAAGTGGCCGGGGATGTAATCCATATCCTCCATGAGAGACTCAATGTCCTCTGTGCTGTCAGCCTCCATGGCTTCCTCCTTCTTCTTCTCCTTGTCCCTTGTTATTTACATAAGAAAAGAAACTTTAAGAAATAAAAATGCTGAATTTGTACATTTTGACCTCCAATCTTTGACAAGAAAATAACTCTCGTCCTTCCTCAACCTACGTTTCCTTACTGTTGCAGAATTCATCCACCCACTCTTGTCATCCCGGTGCAGACAGGTTGAACAGGTTAGGCTTGGGAGTGACTAAGGGAGTGGAACAGGGTGTAGGGGCGAGGTATATGGATATATCTCCTGCACACTTTGTTTCAAGTCTCCCTTTTGATACTCATCCAAAAATACATAAAAGTTTAGGAATCCATTCTATAATTACATCACTTCTGAGTTGTCATGAATTTGCTATTTGTCTCTTTTTTTCATTTCACTCTAACAGAAGTACTGACTGGCATTTCTTAAAGTCAGTTCTGACAGGATGATCTCATTTATGTCTTCAGTTTTGTAAAAATGTTTTTGTAGCCTTGTTTTGGAGAATGTTAAATTTACCCCCTTATACCCCGGGCTGTCAGTCACCAACAGAAGAATGTGAACTATCAGGATCAGTGTGACTGAAACACTGAAGGAAAGAAAAAGTCTTCAGATTTCATGTTACTTCTTTAAATTACCTTTAATTTCAATGAAAGATCTCTTTAGGACATAACAACATGAGTTAATTATCAAAAGATAAACATGCAGCTGTATGATGAGCTGCTGACAGAGCATGTAAACACCTAGAGGAGATATGCAGATACTCTGCAAAGAGTGCAACAAAAGCAAACATTGACTGTGAATCCTTGTTATCCTGACAAGTCACAATACTATCTTACAAGATCAGACACACACGATAAGCACATTATTGCTTCAGAATGGTTTTGCATACAAATCCAAACTCTTCCACCAGAGGGTAAACTTGTATTGTGATAAACCAGACAGACAGAACAAACATGTTCTAAGTCCACTATCACATGCAATGTCTTGATGATCTTTACAGACCTACAAAGTGGGTCCCAAGGAAGTGCAAACTCTCTAATAGAAATCAGCCCTCCACAGCTGGGTAGCAATAATAGCCATGGATGGGAACAAGTCAATTACAAAAGACCAATATAAAATACATTCAAAGAGATAAGTCCCAGGAAGTATGGTTGGTCAGTATTCAGTGTTTCAAGGAACATATTGACATTCATGTCCTTCGTGGTCCAATGTGGCCACAGGTTTCAGGGATAGTTGCAGGTTGATATAGTTTTAGATTAGTTATAGATTAATCAGTTGCTCAAGGATGGAGGAGACCAGGGTTTTTTGAACAGTTCAGGAGAAAACAGCAGTCCTGTTTTAAAAGGAGGGAGTTTCAATGAAAGGACTACTTCTAATACGAAACATGCATGTTTTCGATGGGGTTAGATCACCTGTAGCTAACCCACACAAATATCGAGAGAACATGCCCACACACAAGTGCCTCAGTCAGGTTTAAACACTAATGCACCACCTATGCTGCCCCTGAAACACCATGAATTTACAAGAGAGGGTATTGCATAATGTGTATTTCAGTACTGCAAATGTACCTCCTCGTGGGCAGCCTTTTCCATTTGTACCATGTGGGTGTACAGAAATCTGAAAATGTTCTCCTCTCGACAACCGTTGCCATGGTGGCCATCATGGATACCAGGCTGATTGCATGGCAACATAATGATTACAGATGCATGATTGTGTGGCTGTGTACCCTCCAAACCAAAGACAGAATTGAAACAGCATTTCGCTCATAAAGGCTCCAATTTGGATAATAGATTTTACATCATAGCAGCCAAGAGACAAAACAAAGGTATTATTGGGAAGATGCTGACCCCTAATAATCCCTGTAGCCTTTGCAGTACTCCCCTGTAAAGTAGGATTAGAATATGTGCCCCACATACTGATAAAGGTCCCTTTGCTTTTAACCTAACCCCTTGTTAACCTACTTAATTGTTTCATTGTCTGTCTTAATTTTTGACACATTGAATGACAGTGATGAAGAATAACGTACAGACAGTAAGGGAGTGAAGTATGAGCGAGAGGAAAGATGGCAGCAATCAACCATCAAAGTTCTCTAAAATCCTTCTCTGCGGAGACATTACATTTACATTGACAGGAGCATAGCTGGGAAATCTGGGGCCCCTCACGAGATGTGACATTGAATACAAAGGATCATAGGATCACAGGAAAGCCTCATTAATCCAGACTTTATACCTTCCTATCCCCTCCCTCTAAGCTCAGCTCTCCTCGGTTACTAATACCTTTGTTACAGCTTCACTATCTTGTTGTAACACTAGTTCAAAGTATCATTAAGAATGGATGGATTGAATGATTCACTATGTATTGTACTGTATGTTCTCCATCTCAAACTGGAGAAAGGTAGCTTCACTATGGTATCCAGGTTCATCAGAAATCAGCCCTAATCCACTTCCCATCCTGAATCCTTCTTTTAATGTATTTATATTTAATGCAGATGTCCATCCCCATTTGAATGCCGAACCCCCCGATCCCTTATTCCCTTGAGACACACTTGTACATTTAATTAGTGCTTACACTGTAGCTGAAACCCCTCTGCCTTTCTAAGCCACTTAATCACTGTTTGACTACGACTGTATTTCCATTCTTAGTCAGCTCCTCGCTGGCACCCTGAGTGAGTGTTTGCAGTGAAAAACAACTCTTCAGCTCTCCAGAGGCCTTCTCTGACTGCAGATTACACCACTGAATGTCTCTTTGTACTGTCTCTGTGTGTAAAAGACATATATGGCAACATTTTCAGGGAAATCTTAGCAAAGCAAATTTACCAAAAACGATGACTAATAGTGTTCGTGCAGGATTGTTATGATCTGTTTCAAAAAAATCCCCTTCTGTTCCATCATGGGTAAAAAAAGGATTGTTTGAATACCTTGTTAGCCATGTGTCTTTGTTATTTAGCAATTGTGGATAACATAATCACCAGATATGTTTGCTTTCCCTCCCATGCCGAATGGGAAATGGGAAAAAATTACACTCACCATACACCTTATTGGTTTTCCTAATTGACCATGTCTATTTCCACTGACAGTAGCATTTAATCTCTATTGCCCCGAACTATTGCCAGTACATTGCATCAGTGCACCAGTATCATAACCATGAGTGGTTTTTTTGTATTATGGCAGCCACAGTGCTCCTGGTTCCACATGAGGAGATCCAGGAGGAAAAAATCTGCCTGGACTGAGTCTGCGTAGGCTTGAAGAAGGTTGTCATGTGGAGCCACAGGGTGTGAGTGTGTGTAAGTGTACTGAGTAATGTGATAGTCTTAAGTAACACAGACATCTGTCGTACTTCATTACACTGATTAGACTCTTCATCTACACCACTCCACAGGGGCTCTGCTGCATCTAAACAGCTTCTCAGTGAAATAATCTGAAATCAGCAAGGGTCAACATATATTGCAAACCTAATTTGAGTTACTAAGATTTGGATAGATTTAAATGTAGAGTCTGCTGCAATAGAAGTCATTGAAAAGTACAGGATGTGCTGGAACTACATAGTCTGTTCATACTGTTCATTCAGATGACATAATGTAATGGTTTAATACATAAATATGGGTTAGGGTTTTGAGTGCAAAGTATGATTTTACTTTAATTTTGATAATACTTTTACTTAATTAGGAGTTTGAATGCACTACTTTTACTGTATTTGTATCCTACTTGAGTACATTGTTTACTTCTCGGCTCAGACTTTTATTTTGGTAGTTCACAATACTCAACCCAACGTGTTTCCTATACGCATGTTTTATTTTGAAGGTCTAACCGGACGCTGTATTGGTGTTATTGTAGGTGCATTGACAGTCTGGGGTTTCTCACTCTGCGGCTGCTGGTCGCTGTCATCATGCAGGTGGAATCTGCGCAATGTGGCTCAGTTTAGGGATCTCCATCAGGACACACTAGCCTCCACCGGCCCACAGACACACCGGACACCGGAGATCACACAGGGGAGGAAGCAATCACCAACCCACGGGAAATAAACTAATAAATTAGAAGAATTTTTTGTCTTGGCTTCACTAATTTGACACCAGATGAAAATACAAAATTCCTCTAAGCATGCTGCTGGAATAACCACACGCTGTCCTGTTGATGCTGTCAGATTGTTTTGCTCTCCTGGTGCAGTCTAACTCAGCTGGAGTCGCATATGATGCCACACAATCCTATAGGAAGTGACTCTCGCAGCTTGACAGACAAACAGTTCCCAAGAAACGAAAAGGACGCAATCTTTGTCCTGCGGTTCTTTTCGGCTTGACCGAACACGGACACGATGGATGAAGGCACTGCCAGCGATACCATCCCAGATCTGAAAGACATAGAGGTGAAAATCGGCCGGAAGACCCCCGAGGGTTTGCTCAGGTGGATGCGGGAAGATGCGTCCTCTCTCCGGGGAGACGCCAAGCTGAGCGCCGCGAACGACACCAGTAAGGAGACGGGGAGAAAGAGTTTGGATGAAAAGATCAGGAAATTGAAGATGGAGATGGTAAGAGTGCTTTAGTCGACTCTCGCTCTCTATGTGTGTGTGTGTGTGTGTGTGTGTGTGTGTGTGTTTCTCTCTCTCTCTCTCTCTCTCTCTCTCTCTGTGTGTGTGTGTGTGTGTGTGTGTGTGTGTGTGTATGTACGTGCGCGCCCTTGCGTGGTGGCAGACTCCTGTTTTCTAGGATGTGGCATTCACTGAAGTCACCGCAGTGTTGAGATATCATATTGATGCTTAACTGCCGTCCTGCTCTTTTATTTATATTTTAAACATTCATCAGCAGATCAGTTTATCATGACTCAGAAATGGTTGAAAACTACAGCACTGTGCAGCACAGTCATATAGTTGTAAAACCCCTGAAATGATAGATTAATCAATGAAAAACTATAGTATTATATACAGTAGTTTATATAAATAATATAGTATGTTTTTGATATGAATGCAGGCCATTTCATGTTAACCATGACTAGCAAATTATTATTAAAGACCAACATCTCAAAGGCAAAATTTGAAATAATCACATCTGCTGATGATGGAGCTTTCCTTACACTGGAACTATAACCCGACTAATACTGGAGTTTTGATACTGAGATCAATATTTGGATATTTCAAAAATCTGATATCAATACATCTGATTGTAACACACAACATAAACTATTTTGATACTGAGCAGGACGGTTTAAAGTTGAAAAATCAACACGTCCTCTCTGTAAAGGTGACACTCTTTCTAAATAAACTCAATCTGACAGTGACGTTGTCCTTGCACACTGCCTCTTGGCACCTATAGCAGTTGTTAGGCTTCCAGTAATCTCATGTTTTTTTAGTAATATCTTACTTAATCATGTGCTACCACAAGTGCATTATGTGTTTATGTATGAAAATTAGCTTAGCTTAGCATAAAGACTGGAAACAGTGGGAAACAGTTAGCCTGGCTCTGTCCAAAGGTGATGAAATATGCGAAATATACCATTTCTATGGCTCATTAATCAACTTATCTTGTTTGTTTAATATCTACAAGAACAGAAGTGAAAAAACAATAAGTTGTGGTTTCATGCAGTGGTTATGTGCCAGACTATTTTTTTGGCTGGGAGTAGTGACTTCCTGGAGTCTTGTGGTCATGGTGAAGTTGCCAAGCAACCATTGGAGAGAGAGAGAGTGGTCCAGGGTGGTATCAATCTTCTCATCTCACGCTTGGCAAGAAAGTTATAGTAAGCGTATTTCCTCAGATTTGCAGGGCAGAGTTCGAGTTGAACCGGATAAAATTATTATTGAAATTAATTCACTAGTAAGATTTCAGTTAGTTTCATAATAAACTCAGGTATCAAAAAATCTACTTAACACTTACATACTGTACACAGAGGATTACGGTATCATTCATCCTGGACTGAGTTTGTGACGAAGTAGATGTTACTGTATGAATTTGCAATTGTGGTATTTGTTATTTGAATCGTCTTGAATGATAAAAAGTGACGTCTCTTCATACTCAATCAGTCAGGAACTGCTCCTCTCCATGCCAACAGCTGCAGATGGCTGTGGTTGCTAGGAAATGAGTTGACCACCATTGATTGACAGGTGGTTAACACTCAAATCAAACAATTCATATAGGAGTTTTTATCACCTATGCATCACTTTATTTCTATGCATAGGCTACTGGTTCTTAGCGTGATATATTGGTGTGACGTAGTTGTACAACATCCCTCTAAATTGTTTTGTTCTTCACATATTAAATGATTATCACATGTAGAAGCTATACAAACTGCAATCCAGCGTTTTCCTTTGCCCGGCCAAGTCTTTTCTTTGTTTTGACAGCAGATTATTTCCCTTTGAGCAGTGGTTGATTTGTTCCATTAAACAAATATCTCTCTGTCTTCTTGTTTACATGGACCCCACCTCCTCCAAACAGTGGAGGTCTGTATAGCAATAATAATGCACAACTCTACGGTTGTTTTTTCCCCCCTTCTGTGATCGTGTATGTCATAAATTCCTCTGGTTGTGAAGCAGAGCACCGCCAGCGATCTCCCAAACAAAGCAAGCTGTCGTCTGAGAGAGTTTTCTCCAAAACACATCGTTTACATTCAAACATCCAAAACACATTATCAGTTTGTTAGAAATAGAAATGTATTACACTCCAGGATTGTAGCAACACAAAGCTCATGATGCTGGCGGTCCAGATGCACTTTAGAAGTCTGGAGTCCTTAAGAGGAAATAGTGCTCTCCCCCGCTGTAACTGAACACTAGTGGAAGAAACATTATCAGCAGTACTTTTAGCAATGTGAGCCTATAAATACTATTTGGCCCGCTTGCCAATATCTTGCATTTAGATGGTTGAATTTACACATTACATTAAAAAGAGTCTGCACTAGACGAGCATGGGCAGTAAGGCATACTGCATGTCACTTTAATATGTCATATAATTAAAGCATATGATGATACACTAGTACATGATTGCCAAATGTGGCAGCGTATCAAAACCCTATTGTAAGATCTTTATTGTAAAGTCGGCCAGGCAGATGTTGCTAAAGCTGTTGAGCTAGTCGCACAAGGATGACAGGGAAAGACACAATGTATAGTTCCACCTGTACCTACAACAGTATGCTAAATGAAACAAAAGAAACACAACAGTAAAAAAAGCTACGAACAAAAGCATAAAAGGATAAAGAAACGGGTCAAACCAGAGTCAACATCGGTGTGGCTTTTCAACAATGAAGAGAACTGAGGGACAGGTGTATTATCTGATGGCTAGATGCTAATGTTTGTCTTTTTATTCTTTACTTTTTGGTTGTTGGATGTCTTGTTGACAGTTTAAAAAGCAAAGGCAGGTACCACGACATCTAGATAAATATGTAGTCAGCCTTTATTACATCTTGTCTTTCAGATAGATTCATGGCATTTCCTTTTCCTTTTCTTTGTTAAAATGTTTGGAGGAAGAAAAACTTGCATTTTTAGTGTTTCTACCACATTCAAGGTCTCAAATTAATCCATTCTTCAGGGGTGTGCTTTCAGTCCTCCAAGTATCATGTTAGTAGAGCCTTTACAGTCACATCATAAATCCCTGATCAACTACTGCTGGCGCCATGATAGCAAGCAGGTCCATTTGACAGTTTAATATGTAGAAATAATGGCTAAATAGATTAAATACCAGGTTAGAAGAAGAAGAAAGAAATATATCTGAATACGATATTGGTGTCTCCAGGCTTTCCGCCAGCCCATTAATTTCACAGGGAATGATAAAAATTATCAGGCTATCAAAATGGAAATTTCATAGAGAAATTAACTGTTTTAACCCCCAGACACTGATGTCAGCCAGTTTCTGTATAGTTGACAAAAACACCCATTTTATATTCACAGAGTATCCAAAGAGTTTCTATAAATCTGTCGAGAGCAAAGGGCCAGACTGATTTGTTAACAGTTTTAGCCATTTATCAGGTCTGCTGCAAAAGAGGGAGGACTGAGAGAAAAGTGATAAAGAGCCACTTCCTAACTGGAGGGGAGTGAAACTTCCAGCACAGAGCCAGGCTGCTGCTCTCTCTCTCTCTCTCTCTCTCTCTCTCTCTCTCTCTCTCTCTGTGTCTGTGTGTGTGTGTGTGTGTGTGTGTGTGTGTGTGTGTGTGTGTGGCTGTTTCATTCATCTATATGAGTGGTGTAGTGTAATGGGAGAGCATAAGAAGAGCATTGCACTTTCATCAGAAATCTGCTTAGTAAGATGTGCAGTAACACGTGCAGAGTGTCTGCAGAGTAATGCTAAATGGAAGAGCTCATATGTACACACACTCGTGCACGCATACTTAATCTGTTTTCTGATGCCAAACACTTTCTGTCATACTGATAAGCTCATAAAACCACACACACATACGGCATGTTAAGTAGTTGGCTAATATCTCCTTTTTTTCTCACTTTTCAGTGAGTGCGTCTGTGTGCATCTGTTACTCTACTGTATCTGTAACCCTACAGCATGGTGATGGAGGGCTGCAGCATCTGTCTACTGTTAGATCAAGGATGTGTGTGTGTGTGTGTGTGTGTGTGTGTGTGTGTGTGTGTGTGTGTGTGTGTGTGTGTGGGCCAAGTTGTCATTGTGTCACCACCAGTAATGAAATGTTGCTCTGCTTCTTGTTAACTGTCAGGAGAAACAGGATGTTATCCAGCATTTCTAATACTCCTTACAGTGTATGTTAGACTGGAACAAACACATTTAACACATTCATCAATGCAAATTACAAAGTGAGAGTCAAACTGAATTATTTTGACAAATAAGGCAGTTTCTGTACAGTCTTTCTCTTTGCATGTCTATTGGGGAGTTTTTGACCACCAGCAATGCTATGAAACAATTCTTTGATGAGCGGACTGCAGTTTTGTTTGGGCATGTAGTAATGTGACACGCACTCTGGTTTCACACTATGTCATCGATCAACAGTTGATTGCCAAGACAGCAATGCAAAGCCAAAGGGACGGGAAGAAGAAGGCTAGATGTAAACAATGCAGGTTTTAAAATGTAAAGAAAATCTCTGCAAAGGTTTTATGAGGAAGAAATTGCATTAAACATTTTTGTCAGACCTGAAGGATACACACAATGCATTTTGGTGAAGGAAATTAAACAGAATTTTACTTTAAGTCATATGAGTGATGAAGGACAGTTTGCTGGTTTAAACATATAAAATGCTAGAAAATGGTTAGAAATCACAATTTCCCAATGGGATGTCTTCACATTGCTTATTTTATTCAACCAACTTCCCCAAATCTGTGAAATTATACACATTATTAAACAGCGAAAGCAGCAGACCATGTTTAAGACATGGCATTTCTGCTTTAGAAATAACTGAAACTTTTTTATTGATTATCAGAAAGTTTGCTGATACTTACATTTCTTGCAATAATATGTAAAAGAAATAGAAAGGAAGAGAGCTAAAGAACTGACTGACACATATAGAAAGTGTACTTCATTAGTGAAAAGGCTTATGATGTGATCTTCTTAGCTGTCTGATGTCTGGCTTTAGGCTGTCTGCTCACAT